TAAATAAAAAATTCTAATAAGGGAGTATTTGTAATTTTTCAAATCGTATGGAGAAATTTGTATTTTAAGTAAATCTTAGAGAATATATTTGTAATTTACCTTGTGATTTTTTTTTTTATAAAAAAAGTAAACATTTAAAATGTGTCACCTAAGAAAATAAAAATAGTATATATATATATATATATATGGGTGAAACACCAATAAATCTAAAAATGTGATCTTGTAAACGGTTTAATCTTTTTTTTTTTTCTTATAAACCCAAAGATCTCATTAAAGTAGAAATTACATAAAAGAGTAGTTACTTACATGTTTGGTTTAATTTTTTAGGGATAAAAGTGATTTTCTCAAAATATAAAATTACATATTTGGTCAATTTGCACTATAGAAGTTTTGAATTTTTCCTCATTCTAGAACAAATCACACATTACGAACAAAAATCTAAACTCTAATGTAACACTTCAATAACGTAACACTTCAATATAACATATTAAAAAACTCATTGGTGTACTTTTTCTAAATGTAACAACGTAACACTCAAAAAAAATTTTGGTGTACTTTTCCCAAACGTAACACTTTAATGTAAAAAATAAAAAAAACAAAAAAAAACCTTAGTGTACTTTTCCCAAACGTAACACTTCAATCAGTGTAATCTTAAATGTAACACTCTATTGGCCCTGTTTGGTAGAGCTTATTTCCAACTTATTTCAGCTTTTAGCTTAATTTAAGCTATTTTGATGTGTTTGGTTCAGCTTAACAATACAGCTTAGAGCTTTTTGTTAGTCAAAAATCAACTTATTCTTTAAGTGAGGGAGGAGAAGCTTAATTTATAAGTCAAAATCAGCTTATGTTCACAGTTATAAGCTATAAGCTGTTAGGTTATAAGTTATAATCACTTTCCCACAGCTCTACCAAACAGGGCCAATGTAACACACAAAAACACTAAAAAAACTCATTAATATATTTTTTTCAAACGTAACACTCACAATTTGAAATTATATATTTGTTCAAACCTTACTAAGGAATATTTGTACTCCTTTTGGAATGGTTTAAAGAATCTCACATTTTATTTTTTTTTAGTGTTACATTTGAGTGTTACGTTTAAAAAAAGTATACTAAGTATTTTTTTTTTAGGTTACATTGAAGCGTTACGTTTGGAACAAGTACATCAAAGAGTTTTTTTGTGTGTTACATTAAAATGTTATACTAAGAAATTTTTTTAGAGTGTTATATTGAAGTGTTACGTTTGAAAAAAATACACTAAGAAATTTTTTTGTATATTACATTAGAATGTTATACTAAAGAGTTTTTGTGTGTTACATTAGAGTGTTACACTAAGGAATTCTTTTAAAGTATTATATTAGAGTGTTACATTAGAAAAAATACATCAACAAATTTTTTTGTATGTTACATTAGAGTATATATGTAGTAGTGTGTGGTGTGCTGATTTTTGGGTGGTATGTGTTTGGAGAAATGTTGTGCTTTGGTAGTGGTATGTTATTGGTGTGTGCTTCCCTGTTACAGTTGTTACAGTTGTATTCGTGTTGTTGATGCTGCTGATTTTGGTTTGGTTTAAATGTTAGCATGGCAGTTGTCCTGGTCTAACTGTAGGGTAGTGGTGTTTTGCTATTGTGTGTTGTTCTAAAGCAGCTGTATTGGAGTTGTTGATGCATTAGCTACTTTATGGCCTATATGGTGGTTCAGGTTTGTGTGTGTGTTTTATGAAAAGTACTCTATGTGATGCCCCTAAAAAATGTATTCTCTTTAAAACCCTAATGGCGCCTTTTGAAGCATTATATAGACGACCTTATAGATCGCCGATTTGTTGGACTGAAGTGGGTGATGCAAATCTGATAGGACCCAAACTTGTTCTAGAAACTACTGAGAAGGTCAAATTGATCCAACAACGGTTAAAGACTGCCCAAGACCGCTAAAAGAATTATGTAGACAAGAGGAGAAGACCATTGATGTTTGAAGAAGGCAGCCACGTGTTTCTAAAGGTGCAACCCAGGCGTGGAGTCGTACGTTTTGAGGGAAAGGGGAAGCTGTCGCCACGATATATTGGACCTTTTGAGGTATTGGAAAGAATGGGCGAAGTAGCATATAGATTAGCTCTACCCCCGTAGTTAGCAGGAATACACGTCTTCCATGTATCTATGTTGAGAAAATACATCGCTAACCCGTCACACGTCCTCAAATGGGAAGGTATCAGCCTTGACAAGGATGTTACATTTAAAGAAGAGCCGGTAGCAATACAGGACAGTCGAGAGAAGGACCTCAGAGGCAAGACGGTTCACTTGGTGAAAGTGTTGTGGCGTCACCGGGGAATTGAGGAATCTACTTGGAAGCGCCTTGATTGGGTGAAGGCAAATTACCCCGAGCTTTTCGAAAGCAGTATGTAGCTAAATTTCGGAGACGCAATTGTTTTAAGGGGGATAGGTTGTAAGGCCCCTAAAATATGTATTTACTTTTAAGACCTTAATGATGAATTATTTTCTTAAAGCCCTCGTTTACTTGAATTAATTCGAATCTTGCCAGCTAGCAATTTCTTTTTTCTTTTTTTTTTTTATAGAAACAGAAATTTCTCTAACCCGATTAGTTTCCCTAACTTAATTTAATTCTACCTAGGTTGCATGTAATTAACTTCAAGCCCTCTCTCTTTATTTAAATTTTAAACTTAACCCAAATTAGTACTTGTGCCTTGTACCTTGGTATACCATCAATCTTCCAATATATATATGTGTGTGTACACCTAGTGGGATGTGCCCTTATACCTAAAATTAATAAAAAATAACCCCATCATCCTAGGGAGAAGAGAGGAGCCAATTTTCAATATATATCATCATGATATTCTAGGAAACCCAAACCTAGTACCCTAGATCTAGGTTGTTAATTCCAAAACTAGTTCCTTTCTAACTAGTGTTGCCTAAATCATTGACCAAGCCTCCCCAATCCCTTCCATTTCCTTAGAATCCAAACAAATCCTAACCTTTCCATCCATTTCCAACTAATGGGCTTTTAAGACATTTTACATCAAAAATTGTCTATAAATATCAACCTCCCCTAGCTTACAAACTCACACAATACACTCACTCACACACACATTTTGGTTAGAGAGAGGGAGGAGAGTAAGGAAGAGAAGTCCAGAGAAGAAGAGGGAGGAACAGGAGAGTTTCTTATGCAAAGTTTGGAAGGTAAGCCACGAACACAACCTTCTCTTCATTTCCTTTTCTAATGCATGTTTTTGAAGATCCTAAATAATGTTTTCCAGATCTGTTATTATCAAGTTTTTATGTTAAAAATACTAAGATTTGAGTATTTCCCCATTTTGGCACAAAACCGTCTTCTTTTTGTACCAATCTCTTAATTTTTCAAAGGCACTCCTTCAAACAAATTTTCTGAGTTAAACATGGGATAGTTAGCATATTTTCCTCACAAAAGAAATGAAACTTTCCCATGGTGGAACCCCCTTTTTATAAATTTTCTTGTTTTGGGCATTCTGCAATAAAACCTGTTTTTGCAGTCAGCTTTCAAAAATTCCAGAAAAATGTACAAAAATATTTTGAACCTCTATTTTATGTCAAAACCTTCCTTTAGAAGTTAGCTTTCAACTAAAATTGGTTTCATCGAAAAACATTGAGCGGTTTGCAAGAAAATCAAGTTTTCGTAACAGTCGACGGATCTGGGCAGATTTTGGACAGATCCTGGACAGTGCTGAGATACTTTCTAAATCATCTAGAATCTGGAGGAACAACCCCAATTCCGAAAAATGTTCTATAAACCAGATCGAATCCTCTATAAACCATACGAAGGCCAAGCCGGTAAAGGGTCTAAAATAGCTCTTTCATCTTAATCTTTATGCGATATTAAATCTGGAAACTTTGTTAGGTGTGGATATCTTGTACCTTTGAGTTCATGAGAATGTTTGCAGCTTATAATCATATCTTGATCTGATAATATATGTGTTGTGGTTATGTTATTTACCTTTCTTATAAGAATGTTTGTAGCTTATAATCATATCTTGATCTGATAATATATGTGTTGTGGTTATATTATTTGCCTTTTCCGTCTTAAGATTGCATGCTCATATGGATATTATTGTTTTATAAGTTAAGCTAGTCTTGTCTTAAAACACTTAATTCAACGGGAAACCTAATTGGGAGGGTACTGGGTTTTCGAACATTTGAGTAATGACAAGATGAGAAAATGTGATATATGGATAATTGGGGGGGCGTTCCCTTTCTGAAGGTTAAAAGTCTTGCGCAAGTGGTTTTCGGAACCCTTGAACGGAGCGGTTGTATTCGGACCCTAAGTAGTTGGTGTAAGGAGGGAGTTGGGCAAGGCCCTATTTGTACCGTCTCTTTTGAGGCCCTGCCGTTGGCGCTACGCGGTATAGAACTGTTGGTAGGCATCCAAGGTTAGTTCTGCAACAAAGCAGCAAAAGAGGGGGCATACCGAATAATCCGCGTCCGATTCTTGTGGTTGGGAGGATGGAATCTTTTTGGGGGATTTCTAGTTAACTGACATCTAACTTAACCATTTAATTATGTATTTATTTATTGGAGTATCATGCTTTACTACTTGATGTTTTATTTTGTGATTGTGTATTGGACTCGTAGTCATGTGATCGGAGGCACCGGAATCTATGATCCACAGGAGAGAAGTTTAGGCAAGAGAAGGCTTTAGGATTTCTACCTGTCTGTGCCAACAAAACACTAGGAGTACCGGATGAGGAGTTGGATTTTATCAGCTTTAAGAGTTGATCAATCTGCTCTTTGTTGAAGGGACCTGAATCGGCTTCATTAGCGATAGAGAAGTCACGATTCTTCTCTCCTTGTTTACTGCTTTCCAGTTGACAGGTTTGCCATGGATCTTCCAACACGTTTCGCGTGTATGGCGAGGCTTGTTGCAAAAATCACACCAGACCCGTGGCTTATCATCAAACCTGCGCTGGTAATTTGCAGCCTTGTTGGCGCGCAGCATCGCTAATTAAAGCAGAAATTTCAATTGATTCCAACCGTTACTTTTCTTAAGCATGAACGCTCCTTCGGCTCTCTTCCCTTCTGACTTCGGCAAATACTTCGCCAATGGATGGGAGAGGAGGTCTGCCAATAATTCTCCTGCACTTCATCGAACTCATGTTGGCCGGCAAGAAACTTGTATACACGGCTGTCTTCCACAGTTTTCTTGTGGTGGTTGCAGTCGTCAACCGATTTCCATTCGTATGTGTTGAAGATGTCAAGATCCTGCCACAACCTTTTCAACGAATTGAAATATTTGGTGACGGAATCATCTCCTTGACGAATATCTCCCAACTTCAAAGTTAATTCAAAAACTTGAGATTGATTTCCTAGGTCAGAATACATCTGACTAACATTATCCCACAATTCTTGTGCAGTAGTATAGCACATGTAATTAGAGCTTATATGCC